CCCCAGGCTGGGGCTGGCAGCTGAGGCTGCAAGTCCAGCACTCATCCCTGTGCTGTGTCTTTGGGAGAGGATGTGTCCCGTACTCCCATGCTGAGTCTGCTGGTTTGTCCATGAGTCACCCTCTGCTCCTACATGCCCCACTGGAAAATAAAGAATGTTCCAGCTTGTGAAGCCCTTCTTCCTCGCTGTGCTGCTGGTGTCTGCCCTGGGGCACCCTGCCAGAGCTTTCCCCACGTCCCAGCTCATTGCAGTGTGACAGTGGCTACAGGGATGGATCTGTTTCAGCTTTGCACACAGAAAGATTCTTTCCTCCAACAGCCCTGAGGAAGCTGCAGCATCTCATGATGGGCTGTGCAGACCAGCTGGGGTCTTGGATAGCCCCAGGCTCATGGATGAGCTGCACCCCAAAGGAACTGCATCCCCATCTCCTCTGGACTCTCAGCATGGCACTGGCCAGCACTACACACTTTCACAGGGGGATTTCTGCCTCCAAGCCAAGTAACATTTCATTCAGTGAGAATGCCTGGCTCTTGGCACCAGTGACCCTACCCCTGAGCTCCCCTCCGTGCCAGCAGCTTCCACTGCCATGGGACTGTCCCCACTGCCTGCACTGGAGACACGGAGGTTCTGCAGGGTGGGCTGTGCTGGTAAGAGCAGGCTGGGAGCTGTGGTGGGTGGTTCTCCCCACCTCAGCTGAGCACAGAGGTGAACCTCTGCACCTCCACCCATGAGCAAAGGCAGCCAGGACACAGTTAATCTGTCTCCTGTCCTTGGATGTCCTGAGCACAGCATGGAAGCAGCTTCTCCAAGGAGGGGCTGTGGTGCCTTTGGGAAGCCTGGGAGCTCTCTGATGCTCCTTAGGGTAAACTTTTTGCCCATAAGCCCAAACAAGCAGAAGAATTTCACGCTGGCTGGGCTACGAGTTGGCACGAAGGGCTCTTCAGGGAGCCAGGCTGGATCTGAGTGTCTCCTCATGAAAGAGCAGATGTGTTGGGCAAAATTCAAATGATATCTTCCTCCCAGGATGCTGAGGAGGCAGCACAGGTCGTAGTGCACTGAGCATCTCCCGGGGGTTTCTCACTGCACCGCTCCTGTGCTGGTGCCTGCCTCAAGCAGCGATCCGGGGCAAGGAGCGCTTGCTGCGGGCGGATATTTAAAGAAACGGAGTTAAAAATGATACAACTCTTTTAAACCTGGACTGGGCGAGTCCTGCAGGACAAATCGGTGCCTGCAGGGTGCAGCTGCAGTCGCTCTGTAGCGCACATACAAATGCTGCTGGGCTGGGAGCGGCCGGGGCTGGCCCTGCGCTCCTCGCCCCCGGCTCCCGCACAGCATGGCATCACCTATTTATAACTATTTATAACTATTTATAACTATTTATAACTATTTATAACTATTTATAACTATTTATAACTATCACTATTTATAACTGCATGCACTGCAGGGGTAGTGTTGGCCTGATGGCTCCACACAGGCACGCTAAGTGTTGTTCTATTTCTGTGATTTGCTCTCTTCTGCACAAGCTGTCGGTCCCTCGGATGCCAAAGCACTCCATGTAGTATAGACAAAGAGCCAGCTTTTTCTCTTTTATTAAAATCACCAGCAGCACCCCAGTGGCAGGTATGTTTACCATTTTTCCCAGCTCACCTGGATAATTACATCTGCTCTCCCTTCCCAGTCTGATCGATCTCCTTGGTAAATAAGATAACCTGTCAGGTCTGGTGTCACTGCAGCCAAAGGTACTTTAGCAATGAAATTGTTTTGCTGAAGAAATAAATGCCTCTCACAGAATCTGAGGATGCTGTGACCTCTCATTAGTGACCTGAGTGACTCATCCCTTTTTGTGTGCACACTGCAGCCTCCCACCACACTGTGAAAAATGCTCCACCAAGTCCTGCTGCTGGGTGCCTGGAGTAATGGGGAGCCAAATCCTGTGGGAGCCTCCTGCTCTGGCTGCTTCTCGTCCAGCTTCACACCTCGCCTGTTCTCAGCACAGGGCAGCCAACCCACACTTGTTTAGCAATCAGGGCTCCACTGGCCCTACCAGCACCCCTGAACTGAGTCAGAGCCGGATTTTAGCTAATGTGTGCAAAATGAAATGAAGTATTAATCAGAGTTGAGTTCTGTGCACTTAGATGTTGCTGATAGCAATATTTTCTTTTTGTAGAGTGTTTTGCATGCCAAAAAAACCCAACAAAACTGTTCTGCATTTTGGAGGAAGAAAGTGGTTGTACATCTGTGCATCTGTACGTGTGCCTGTTATTTCTGCCTGACTGGCTTCCCTGGGCTGTCAGCTCAAAAGTTCTCTGTAACATAACAAACCTTGACTGTGTTTGCAACATATCCTCAACCAAGAGCGGTTTATTTAATGAAGCAAGAAATGCTGCCAAATTTCCAGGCTAGATCCTGATCCCATTAGTGTCAGGAGGAGAATTCTCACCATGTTTGATTTATTGGTTGGGTCTAATCTTGGTAAAGGAGTTAAAAATCTGCTTTCAGCTTGATTCTGCACACAAGACCATTGTTCCACGCTGCTGTACCAGAGAGGCAGTGGGAAAAGCAGGTGGGATTCCTCTCACTTGCTTTTAGACATCTCCAAAGTCTGGCAACAGATAGCCAAGGGAGGGAAAGAGTGTTCAGCTTGTCATAAGCCAGGAGCCCAAAAGGGGTGATGATTCAGAGGGCAACCATGGCACAGCTTCTCCAGGGGCACTGGCCCCTTCCTGCCAGCAGCAAATGCTTGTGCTGGGAGAAGGGGAAGGAGGATTATGACACCTGCCCACCTTCCCTGCCCCTTTACCCACTCCCAAAAGTTCTTCCCATGCTGTAAGTGGGACCTGGGACAGGCTGGGTGCTGCCCATGCTGCTTGCTCCAGGGACAAACCCTCTGGTCCCAGGGGATAAAGAGCCCTGGGAGGTTTTGGCAGGGGAGCAGTGCCCATGTGTTTTGAGCAGGATCCCTGCAGTGGCCACACACCTCCATGTCCCACAGAGAGCAGCAGCTGCTCTTGGGGAGGGAAGGAACCTCCCTGGCAGTGAGGGCAGGAAGGAGGGATGGAGGAGGGAGGGCTGGAGGAAGGAGGGTGGTTTTTTTGCCCCAGCTGTGAAGAGGTTCATGTGCCAGGGGCTGAGCCTTAATTACACACACACCTAATAAAGGGAAAGAGCTTATTCCCTCCAGTTCACATGGGAAGCAGCACTGTCTGAAAATCAAGGGGGCTGTGATTAAAAAAGAATTAAAAATTACACCCCAAACTCCTCAGACATCAGCCCAACACACAGATCCTTACTGGCTTTTGCTGCTTTGACAGACACAGAACACAGAAAAAATGTGCAAATTTATGCCTGCAACTGTCCCTGGGGCTCAGAGATGCTTCTTAGGACATAAACCATTTATTACAAGTGAAGGGAGGGGGCACTGGAGAAGACAAGAAGACACATCTGGGCACAAGGATGCAGGGGGTGAGAGCAGAGTTTGCTGGCACTTCCTACACAGCACTCCCTCCCCAGCATGTGGTGATGCTTTACTCCAACCAGCCCTGCCCAAAGTGGGGGCAGTGACAGGGTGTCACAGCTCCCAGGGGCTGTGCGAGCCAAGGCTGGCTCTGCAGGGAGCTGTAGCATCTTAGACAGGATCCATGTGTGAAGATGGAAGAGCTGGACAGCTTTCAGAGGCGTGGGTGTTTTTTGGGGAACAAAGAAGAGTTCAGAGCTCTGGAGAAGCCCAGATCTGGAGCATGTGTGCAAGGAGCAGGGACCAGGTCCCATCCTAATGTCTCAATCTTCCTACTAGAGACAGAGAAGTTCTTGTTGATGAATTTATGCTTTATCTTTGCTTTTCCTGTGGATGAGGTGGGAGCTGGACATTTCAGGCTCTGCAGGACCCCTGACTGGTGCTGAGCAGGCTCCTCAGTGTGTGCCTGTCACAGATCACTCTCCAGCAGCTGCCTGCAGTCTCCCATCAGTTCCCTGCCTGCAGAGCCCTGGGAAGATCATCTCCACTCCCTGAGCAGGCAGGCCCCTGCTCCAGCCTGCAGGCCAGCTGGCTCCCAGGCTCCCATAAGGCTTTAAAAGAAGCCAGACGACTCACAACTGAAAGCATGAGCTGTTTATTGCACTGTAGACATATTACCTGTGCTGCAAGCCAGCTGCGCTCCCTGCACTGCCCAGCTAAGGTGGGTCCGTGTGAGGAACAGCTGACAGACATAAATGTCAAGAAAAGAGCACAACATCCGTCCGTGGGCCAGTGCTTTCCCAGAAAGGGCTGATTTTAACTCACAGTCCACTTCCTTCAGCTGGGCTCCAAAAGCTGCTGTCACTGCAAATCACATTATTGAATTGAAATGTTCGTGCTGTTTGTAGTGGGTAAGACCAAGATCAAAAACCAAAATACTGCCTGGGAGCCTCTGCTCACCCCAAAGCAAGAGACCTGCCACCCCTGGTGATGACAGACAGCTGCCCTTGCCATCACATCCTGCCTTCACAAGCCTTCACACCAGTGCTGCTTCTCCTTTTATTTGCACATCTAATTTTTACAAGTCATATCTAATGCCCTTTCAAGGCTGGATGCAAGATGCAAACACCCACCTGAATTTTTGCAAACTCTCCTGGCATTTTCCTGCTGAAAGCAGTTAAGGCTACTGCAGTCATTCACCTTCCAAAATAAAACCCCAACCAACAGTCTCCAAAAACTTTAAAATGCCTATTTGTAAGTTCTGCTATGTGCTCTTCCAAAAGAGAGGGAGTGATGCCAGTAATGTCTTTTTCTTCTGCAAAGGAGGTGGGCAGCAGAGGATCCCACAGATCCTGGAACAGCTCAGTCACCCAGGAACTGGCAGAGCTAAGTAATGTACTTAAAACCTGATTTTTTATTGAAATAATAAACCTGAATATTTCCATTCCAAAGCTCTTCCCCCCCTGCAAAAATTCACCCTCTCAGCTGTTCTGCAATGCAGGACCTCTCCTTAGGTGAAAGAGGGAATCCTCCTTGTACAGTAACTCCCTCCCATCCCTCAGTCAGGGGAGCTGGGAAGCGAGGGGTGTTCACCAGCTCAGACTGCTCATGACGGGCTGGAGGGAAACACTTTGGACTGGAGCAAACGTGATCGTCTCGTTCCATCTCCAGGCGTGCTGTAGGCAAAATGGTCGGGTCGAGCGGCTCTGCTTTTGAAATCTGGTGGCAGTTTTCTCTGTGATGCTGACAGTCCTGTCTATCCCTTGTGTGCACGGAGCCCGCGATGCTGCTGTCACCATCTCTGCAAAGCTCTGTCAAGGTGGGGGGCTGCCCCCAGGGAGGGGCCAAGCACAAGCTGACGTGGCACAAGTGGGGGTGTCAGGTCCCTCAGAGCTCGTTAGAAGCCTCCCCCTTACAAAGAATGATGTTCCTCTTCTTGTCAGCTGCCTGGCAAGAGGCTGTGCGCCGGAAGGGTGGCCTCAGACACCGTCTGGCGCTTTGGTGGATGGTCCTCACTCGTGACCTCCAGTCTTTGCTGGTAACCACATAGAGCAGGGGGTTGAGGGCACTGTTGAGGCTGGCCAGGCCCCGAGTCACCTGGTAGGAAACGTAGACATCCTTTGAAGCCTGTGTGCAGGACCCTTGCGGTTGCCAGCGAAAAAACAAGTTGAGGTTTCTGAAGATGTGGTAGGGGAGGAAGCAGATGGAAAAGAGAACCATCACGAGAATCACCAGTCCGATGCTTCTCCTCCTGAGGCCGGGGTCCACGCTGTCATTCCTGCACAGCACGAACACCACGTGGCAGTAGCACCCGACGATGATGAGGAACGGGACGACAAACCCAGTCACGGTGACAACAAAGGTGTAGGGCAGGTAAACGCCCAGGTGCTCGTGTCCTGTGGTGTCGTGGCACTTCATCCCCGTGTCATCCGTCTTGCTGAAGGCAAGATCAGGGGCTATCTGTGCCAGGACCCACAGCCAGACCGTCACGCTGAGCCAGGCCGCCGAGGCTGCCCCCTGGCACCTGCCCCGTGCCTTCAGCGGGTGCACGATGCCCAGGTAGCGGTGGATGCTGATGCAGGTGAGGAAGCCGATGCTGGCGTACAGGTTGAGGTGGAAGAGGCTGCGGGTGAGGCGGCACCAGGCCTGCCCGAAGAGCCACACTCTGCCTCGCAGGTAGTAGCTGACGAGGAAGGGCAGCGTGCTGACGTAGAGCAGGTCAGCCAGCCCCAGGTTGCCCACCAGCAGGCTGAGGGGCTGGCGGGCACCCTCGCGGGGCCCTGTGCAGAGGTGCCACAGCCCCAGCCCGTTCCCCAGCAGCCCCAGGGGGATCACGGTCAGGTACACGGCGGGCAGGAAGCGCTGGGCGAAGGCGGAATCCACGGGGCAAAGAGCCCGAGTGCCATTGCCGGGCCACGGGGAGACAGCATCCACAGCCATCGGGCTGCCACAGCCCTGCCCAGGGCGCTGCTGCTGGCACTGCTCCCTGGAGAGGGGTGGCACTGCTCCCTGGAGAGGGGTGGCACTGCTCCCTGGAGAGGGGTGGCACTCCTCGGTGGAAGGCTGTCCCGGTG